TACAACATTGCTCGTCTTCGTCTGACTGTATCTGTCTTCGTTTACCTTTGAATAAAAAACAGACTGTCAATACATGATAAACAATCTCGATAATGTGTCGGCCCGCGTAAAAGATATCATTCCGCCGTAAGTAAACAGTCTGTTGATTGCCAGTGATCTTTGATGCACATTTGTATGCATTCAAGTTTTCAAAAAAATAAAAATAACAAGAAAGGGTGTTATTGTGTCATTTAACCAGACGAACTTCAATATCCAGAAGAAAAAAGGTGTCCATGCTGGAATCCAAATAAAACCATAGGAATTTCCCCATAGGAATGTGTATGTATGAAGTCAATAGGTGCGCCCTCTATCTCCTTTGCTGAAACTAATATTGGTTCCAAGTCGTTTCTGCTTCCGCCCCCGCCCACCCGTACATTTGCATTAGTATTCGTCCTCCTTCGCCTGATAAAAAGTAGATAAATGACTGTGTGTGGCTGGTCGCTTAGCAACACGTATCAACCAATCAGCGTGTGTGTGTGTGTGTTATATAGTAACAAGTCTATCATATCCAAGTAACGTGAGTATTCGGTAAAGAATAAGAATGGAATCTCCTTATCAAATGTTGATTATTAAGCATTACGTGGTTTTTCAAATCGTGATCAACATGAATGTTCCGATAACAGTTTGATTTTTGACTGTCGATTAAGCTGTTAAAGATAAAATACTTGTAGTGTTGTGTTATTGTGTGGGTGTATTCACGGGGGAGTCTCATGCGTCAAGTGTGATTGATTCAGAAATGACCACATGATTTAGGAAATTTACTGGTGTGACAGGAATGGTAGTCCGCTAGAAACCGTAGTCCGTTCCTCATTAATTTGTGCATGTGACATTCGTATCTTAACCCCAATACGCCGACTAACCCTAACCTGTACCATTCATTTGGTACCCCGGACTTCCATTCCAAGGACTACCATTCCTGTCACACCGGCAGGCAGTATTGCTATATCAGGTCTGACCGCACCCTTCATCAAATCTCGCTGTATCTCGATTTATTTAACGCTAATTTGCGAGACTTTGGGCTTTTTCTCATGATTAATTTATCTGCACTGCATGATAATAATAATAATAATAATAATAATAATAATAATAATAATAATAATGATAATAATTACTACTACTAAATTCTTCAAAAAATGTTTCAATAATTTTAAAGTGTGTAAATTATCTTAATTATAATGCATTGCCCTAAATATTTTGGCAATATAGCCCAGGCCTATAAGGACCCAGTCTTGTACAGTATTGGTATTGGTATTGTACGATGATTGCTTCACGCAAAAAGGCGTCACACTCACAGGGACTAAATCACAGGGCAGATCACACAGTTAAACACGACATTCGACGTCATCAGTTTTCCAGTGCGGATGAATCCCACAAACGAGCGTCTGCTACAGATTTGACGTCATACGGTGCGTCTAAGTCTTTATCGGCCTGAAGAAGTCCTGCGTCTAAATACTGCGACAGGTGACCTCATAATCACTAAGCGCACCATCCACCCCTAAAGTACACACAGAAAGTACGCGTACTCACCTGTGCCGAGTTATTAAATAAGCCATCAAGGACAGATTTGAGGCGACATTGTTTACACTGTCAAATGCTTGTTTTACATTTACATGGCTCAATTCAATAAACAACCCAGATAGTCAAATTTCTTTATTTAAAAAAGAAACATTAAATTGCTGGTTGATATGCATTTACCGTTTTATTTATCAGCCCTCCTTAGATTTGATACACAGCCGTGGGAGGAAGGTAAACACACGTTATCAGAGCAGAATACTTTCTGATAGATGGCTCTGTGTGACGTTACCATAGGAACGATGATGATAGAAAGTGGAAGAACCAAGTTTATGCAGACGTACATATTTATCATTCGTTACGTATATCACATTAAGTGTTTATCGCTAAAACTGCGAAATTAAAGATGAATTTAATTAGAAAACTATACAAATGAAATATCAAATAGTTATTTTTCATTCAGTTAGAACTGTACTGAAAGCAAAAGACAGCCTATCATACTCCAAGCCTTTCAATTATTGACAGAAACCGACAAATAAATAGATTTCTAAGCTAGGCTAAATGTTTCCAATTGACGCGATATTATAAATAACACAGGAACGCGTCAATCAAAATAAAGCTCCAATAATGGTAGTAAAACGCAGAACTGGTGTTACATGTATCAGGGTTGTGTTGCGTCCACACCCAACAAACATGTACATACGCCAAAGGAAATACGTACGCTAACAAAATCTGGACCTTTTTTTGTACACTGAATATCTCCTAACATTCATTGTGGCCTGCTTTTAGACTTCACTTCATCTGATGTTTGCTTAGCACTATTATATGACATCTGAGTACTAGAAAGACACACGCGTTCTTAAACCCAAACCGAGGACCATCTTGATCTCTTTAAATAGACACTCTTTTCCCTTGGTTTAAGCCAAATACATGTGCTCCGCCGAAATAAGAAAATAAGAAAAAAAGTTACTAAACGTAACCATAGCTAAGTTGAAAAATAAGGTGGAGTGTAATAAGAAGTTTTTCATGACTTTAAGGTTTTCAAACAATATACTAATATCTTTGAAACTTTTACTTTTAAAATTATAATTGTCTTAATTATAATTCCTGCAGTTATTTGCATAACAAAATTTTAAACACACATTTTAAAACATTAATTTATTAATTTTAGACTCAATTTTAGACTATATATTAAATCATACATCATCACTGAACTAAATAAATCGCACAGGTAACCGTTTCCGTGGGTATCAAATAATCAAACCATTAAACGTAGTGAGCCGTCTTTATGAGTCATATTAACTTGTTTAACGAAACATAAGCGCAATACACGTAGAACAAGGTTTTCCTTTTTGGTGCCTATTCAGAAATATCAGCGACAACAACAACGAAAAGTAACCAACACACACTTAAATATTAAAATATTAATGATCAAAACAGGTAAACAAAAAAAAAAAAAAAAAAAAAAAAAAAGTAAAACGTAAATTAATATTTTGACTTAACATATCGCCTTTATTTCTGCTGCCATTTATAATGAATACTAGAGATGNCGGTTAATTTTCAAAATAAATAATAACATAGATAAAGATGAAAGTCTCTCACCTGCCATATTCCTCCAGAATAACCTGCGCGGTAAGTTCTTTGGTCTTCTCCATCCTCTGTTAGAACGTACGCCAGTCTTCTGAGCAACAGTTTGTCATCGCCAAACACACAAGATGTCTGCAGCGAGTCTATGACAGCTTCAACGACAGATCTTCCGCTTTGTCTCGAGACTCTGGTAAGGTCTTCCCCGGCGACGAACACACAGATAATAGCCAAAACAAATACGCTTAAAATTTGTGACATTTTTCCTAAATAGTTCTTACGGGAAGGGTTACCTTGCGTTTTTTTAACGCTTTAAGTCTAACAAGTCTAGTTTTTACGCCCTTGTCTATGCGTAAATTTCGGCCTGCATGTTGTGACGGCAGGGACGCGCAGGCCGCATTTATGCTGTCCCGTCACTAGGGCGTGGATCGCTATGACGCCGGTGGCAATAAACTGGGATTTGTTACATCACACCTGATAGGCGGAAAGAAGTGAGGGGGCCTAGAAAAGGGGGCGACAGGTAGTTTATTTCTTTACAAGTGTGTGTACAATTTGACAGTTGTATTGAACAAACTGGGGTTGGAGTTTAAGTGATTATTGAAATAATCACTACAAGATAACCAAAGAACGTTTTCCAGCTAGCACGATATAATTTGATTTTTGTTAACAAGCGACAAAGAGTAGCTGACATAGATAGTTGTTACAGATAACGGGGTATTGTTTTAAGGCACGTCTAATATATTTGACTAATTTATTGAGTCCTGTGTCCAATATCTTGGATACATGACTGTATTACTCCCCCATATCTAATAAACACTCGTTGTCACACAACACGAACTTTACACCCCGGCCTATCTGTAGTAGGGTAGTATCTGAGGCCATGAAGGACATTGACATACTATTTAGACACGTCAAATGACAATAGGGTGTATGATTCAAAGATCAGAAGTTATTAGTACACCAATTGATCATGCTTTTTCATTTTGATACGAAGTAATGGCTTAACGGTTATGGCTTTAATATTTATGAATCAATAAGCAAGAAGGCGTAAGTTTGATCATTGGCAGTTTTTTAAATAAATTAATACCTTATTGACTTATGTGTTTTTCTCAGAGGAACGGCACAATACAAAACAACGACATCTACTTCTTATAGATCACAAAATCTTTCAAATTATGAAAAAAAAATTGATTTTGCGATAAAGACATTCATGGATTAATAAATTATGCAGTTATACTTTCAGACAAAATAAATTAAAATATTCAGTAGAGTTAAGATCGGCCTGAAGAAGTTAGAAGGGGTCCCACGTTGACACCCCTCTCAGTACCTCTACAGAATAACGAGTGAAGTTTAGAGCCTGGTGACGTAGCGACGCTGGCGAGTACGTCCAACTGGTCGTAGATAAACCACATTTTAATCAGCGAAATTGTGAATCATTTATCTACAATACCTAGGGTGGCGGATTAACGGTAATTTGAGATGGACTTAGATTCGCCAGGTGGGACTGTATATTAAAATATTAATATACATATTTAGATATCTGTTTAAGTGACTGAAGACGTTTGTCGTATTGTATCAGTAAATCGTTTAGCATTAATTGCGCTGGACACTTTCAAACGCCGGATGCAGTCTTACATTTGCACAGTAACCATTCACATGGATTCGAGAGGAATATGGGTGGGGATTAAGGTGCGGAGGGGGGGGGGGGGGGGGGGGGCGCTGCCCCCCCCCCCCCCCAGACCCGCTTTCGTAAACACTGAACTGTTTTTACGGAAACCAAAAACAAAAATCAACACCATAAGACAGCGATATGTTTATTAGCTCACCCCACCATAGTGATCAGTAAACATATTTTTTTTATTTCTAATTCCAACCAGTCTAAGATGATGAAGAAAAGCTGCAAGAAATCAATAGAGTTAAATAATTAATATATTTTAAGTGTACATAATCGTCATGTCTAATCACCTACAGTTTGTAAATATTCAAATATTGCCTCAAAAAAGCACTTAGAAGCCTCTCATACACTCGGCTGTTTCCGTTGATCACGTGACTCATCCGAGGAGATGAGAAGAAAACTTCGAGTGCAATAAATAACCTTTTTATTCCACTATTATCATCATCATTCTTAGCGATGATGTTTCAAGAGAAATGCAAATGTGGTATACGATAGGTAAAAAAAGATGTCGGTTCTCTCGCTTGTTGCGCTGGCTATCGCTATACATATCGCAATCTTTGTAACTTCCTTACGTATAACTGGCCTAGACTTCTAATTGGTAGTCTGGGTGTAGCAAATGGCCCGCCATTAAGATTCCTTTCGTAACATAAGATGCTGCTTTATAAGAAATACATTGTCGCTATATCCCGAAGAGTCAGAAGCAAGCTGGTATTCCTTTTTCTTTTCTTGCTCCCGGATAGGATTCATTTTAGAAATAGCGCTTAATGAGTTTTGATTTAATTTGTTGTAAATTTGACAAACGTTGGATAATTTATTCATTTTTTCCTCAGCCAAATAAGGGAACATTTACGTCTGACTAAAATGTCCTCTGCTTAATCGATACGAGTAATTGAGTAGATTGTACGTTTGCGGAGTTCGGATTGGGAACAGCCAAATTCGCCATACAACTCTCCACGAGGAGGCCTCGTTTCTGGCAACATACAGCATGGTCATAATATAGAGCACAAGCACCACAAACGAGGCCTCTGCGCAGAGTTAAGAAATCTAGTCAATGTTCGGTACAACATATCACGTCATTCTCCTATCAGGGTGAACGCAGGCGAGCGCACGTGCAGCAGAATTCAAATTTGAATATGGCATTCATTTTGACTGATTACTTTCCAAAAATCTAAAAAATTAAAATTCGATTTAAAAAAGCTGAATTGATGATAATATGAGTTGAATAAGCCACGTTGTTACATTGATTGAACATGGAGAATGACGTCATATGCTGACATGGCAGCCAATGTCTTGATTTTTTTTCAGTCTGACCACTAGTTGTATCGTCGAGTGAGAACGTAGTTGTAGCGCTGTGCTTCCGACAAGTTCTCGAAGTTCGCAGGCAATGGGGAGTCGTTAATTAGGTCAAAACGTCTGACCTCAATGCTGGAGCCTTCGCAGTTCTTGCCGCAAGATGAAGGCGAGGGGTTGTCGCACCTGCGCACGCGCATGCGTATTCTGTTGTGTTGATCACAGCGGATACATCTCCAGTCGGACCAGCTGCTCCACTGCCCGTCCCGGCATACATTGCGGCGCTCTATCCACCTGCGGAGGTCCATAGACTTCACCGTGCGGCAATCAACGAGGGGGTTGCTGGAAATAGAAAACATCGAATTCTGTTTGAAGCGTTTTATTATAATAAAGCGTTTTCATTTTATTATTTTTTTAATTCTTATCCAAAACAAAGAAAAAAAAAGGTTTCATATTTTGAACAGACTTGTGACTCGTGCTGCAGTCAAAAGGGGGTTGCTGCAGATAGAAAATATCAGGATTGAATTTGAAGTACAGAAATAAATGACACAATTTGCCATGTGAATTCAAGATCACGTGAGGATTTCTGGGACTGCCTGTCCCCCCTTTTCAGCACGATGTTACTGTACTTGAGGTGTTGGAGGTGCTGTCACGTGATTTAATGTTGTCACCTGACTGTAGTTTGCAATGCTTTTTTGACAATATCGAATTTGTCCATTCTCAAGCGTTATGCAACCTTTTTATTATTTACAGTGCATGTATATGTCAGCCTATCCCCAGTGCAATTTAGATCATCTAAAAAGTGAAGGGCACATGTTAATGGCAGACAAACCCATATAAATCCCCGTAGAAAACAAGCGTAATAGAAGCTCATGTAGTTGTGGGCATTCCCACATGTGACTGATTACAGTTTGAAGACAGGGACAGGAGCTTCACCGGAAGTGACGTAGGTGCGTGTAGGTGTCTTGTACTTACGTGGTGTCATCAGACATCAAAAACACGTTACGTGGGATGGACGCAATGTTGAAGTTGTCACAGAACAATCTGGCCATGTCGGTTTTGCGGAGTTCCTCCAGTTGGTCTGGAGAATTAAGAGAGATAAGATTATAAGACAAGTGCTGGTCCATGTTTGAAGGTGCACAGCCCTTTAGTGTCTTGTTTGTCGTGCCTTCATTTGTAATAGTGTTGGTATCAGCCATAGCACTTTAGACTATTGGTTTCATAGCACTATTGGTTTTATTACACTGATTTCCAACAAAGGTATGAAGAAAGACCATTTTCGATTTTAAAATAACTGGATCTACATATCTACCTCCCTGATATTATCTTTTAAACAAACAAGGCAACAGCAAAAACAAAATCAGCCGTAATGGTTTTTTAAGAACGCACTTAAAACATAAGTGTCTTGTTTGACGCGCCTCTCAGTTGCAACGTTTGGCTTATACATGATTTAAACACAAACAGGAACAAAAAACCCAACCTAATGGCTTATGTCAAGAACACATACCTTCAGTAAATCTGATGTCCTCGTCTCCATTTTCGTAAAAGAATCTATCGCCGAACTTAAGGGCGGCAAACTGTCTTCCCAAAATGCAAGCGAACGTGGGTCCAACGATACCCCCGGGGACTGGAAGCTCCGCCATACCACCAGTAAACAGGTCAATGTCATCCGGGTGACTAGGGGGGATACAAACCATGGTTAATGTACGTGTAGATCTGTGACAAGGGAAGCATTGAGAGAGAGAGAGAGAGAGAGAGAGAGGGAGACGGGGGAAAGAGGGGGGGGAGAGATAAAGTGAGAAACAGAGGTGAAGCTATGAGACGTCAATCATCACAAAAAATATATATAATAATAAAAGATGGAAAAACTCATGCTCAAGCGGACGGGAAGAAATAAACAACATCTACATCTTACTAACTCTAATCATGCTATTAATATTAATAATTTCGTTACTGTTTCGTTACTGTATACTGTAGCACTCTCCAACGCCGAAAAAATCAAAAGTGATAAAAAAGTGACATACAAGACTTCAATTCCCTGTTATGGTTCAAATATTCGCTTTTTTTTGGAACACGTCTAGGACAACTCCTTCATATTCATACTGCACCACTTACTTGTATATTTCGCTGATTTTCTTAGCAGTGACATCGTCCATGTTGACCAGACCGTCCTTGCTGGTGAAGAAGTGCCGGGCCTTGGGAAGACCACACCAATGGCGCCAGTCGTTGTATGGGGGAAGGGCGTGGTCACGACCACGCTGGATATTTAGGGCCGCCAAGTCCAACGCTATTTATAAATCAGAATATGTGGTTTCATTTTTCCTTATTGACTAGAGAGAAATAAATGGTGCAAAATCGCTATTTTTACAAGACAATGTCGACTGTACATGTATATTCTAGAATGCCGTTTAAAACCGTTTACTTGGTGTGAGGCAGATGGATCTCCTACTTAAACATTTATACTAGGTTGGACCAATAAACGAGCATTATATAATAGAGTTCTGTGTAGAGGGCACTCCGTTCCTGCATTAAAATGTAAATATTAAATTAATTAATATTTGTTTTTAAGAATATGTGAATCGACCAATCAAAACCTCACCTATGCGAGAGTGCGGATCTTCGAACAGATGGTCCGTGACAGCTGGAGTCAGATGACGATCACATTGCTCCATAGGATCCTTGAAAATACCACGGGCAATGGATTCCATTCCTCCCTGCTCAGAGTTGTACAGTTCCTCGGGCTTAAAGAAGGCATTCTTCAGCGGGATGGAGGGCAGTGGCGTGTACCCGCGTCCGTACCTGGCGATGTGTTCCATGACCAAAGAGTGTCCGAAACGGAATCCGGCAGCGGCAAAAGCGTTACGGATCGACGGATCGATGTTCTCGTTGTAGCCTTTGAAATAACCGGATGTTCCAACACCGACCTCGAAGCAGTCGACCCCGCGGTGGCCCAAGACCATCGGCAGCCACATACTGTAGGTAATATGCTGCAACATGGCGCCGACTATACGGCGGGTCTCCTGGTATGTCCTCTCGTCGTCCCAGTGGGGGTTGTAGCGTTGAAGCGTGGTGGCGATGCGGTTGTGCTCCCTCACGAACATGGTGTGAATCATGGTCAGAGTCAGCTGTTCGTTGCTGCGTTCATCGCCTGGAAAATAACGATACAAAAGGCTCAGAGCTGTGGTTTTAAGTCTTTGGCTAGAACATGACATTTAGTGACGGCCTTTTTGAAATTAAAAATAAAATCCTCCAATACTTTGCTGCGTGAGGGTGTTCTGTATATGTAGTTCCAAACATGTGAAGATGCGTGCTTATGAGAGAAAACCGTTTTAAAACATGCTATATTACCTGCTTTAACGTTGGAAGATACGCAAGTTACGGATTTTACATGTAGGTATCTATTTATGTTGAAGCCATAGAAGTGTTTTGCTACAATGTCGTTCTATATGAATAAATCTTCATGATAAAACATATAAATAAAAAAGCTAACGTACCAGCAATAAAACATTTAATTTCCGGTTTATTGGCCGGGGTGACGCATTCCTTTTCCTGATTGCTATTATCCTTGGGCATGAACATCTTTCCATTGACCACCGATGTCTTCAAGAGACCTGAAAAGTTCACATATACCTTAGATTGTTTGTTTTTTTATGTTATCATGTGTATGGTGTGTTACTATGTACTAGAATACACTGTTTCCTATACATGGCACTGCCGGTCTGCACATAACATATATTGTTCGTTCCCTCCTCCTTTAACTGAATTTGAATACAGTTAAATGATAAATACCAATGAAATATCTCAATCTCAAAAACTGCTCTAATTAGTCAAAAATAAATAAATAAAATAGTCGATGTAACATCGGCCAATATTTTTTTTGAAGTTACGTTATTGGCCAATAGTATGTTTTAACACACCTCAAATTAACGGATGTGGGATCATTAATTAATCTGTGCTAATTGTATGATAATCTTCGCACAATGACAGTCAGTGTATGGTGGAAGTAGTAGGAGTAGAACATTACCGAGTAGTAGTAGTAGTAGTAGTAGTGCATGTACATGTAGTAGTAGTAGTAGTAGTAGTAGTAGTAGTAGTAGTAGTAGTAGAAGTGGCAGAAACACGTTACCTCCAGAGAAGGCTCTCAGATTGCGGGCCTGTTCCTCCGTGGAGCCGTACACCTGGGACGCGTCTATGTATGACGTCACCTGGTTAAGTTGTTCACGGTAGCCTGGAAGAGGGAACAGCAAACGTTTAACTGTAGTACGTCATCGTCTTCGTTGTCTATTGTTTACTATCTACGATATGTTCTAACATTTGCTTTCATTTACTACTGTGCGTGTTTCCAAGTATAATAAATACTTCGATACGAAATAAAACATTCCTATGCAACTGTCAGCGTTGACAAACTTTAGGGTTTTTAGAAATCAGATGTCTCGAGTAACTGCCAATTTAGAAGGCATCGATAAAGCTTAACTACATGTTACTATAATCCAATCCTCCAAAATGTAGGGAATAACATTATTACTTCAAAGAAAAATCAACGGAGGCACGCTTCATATGCGAGGCGATTTTTCAGAAATAAATCTTTGTTTGGATAGCCTGCCAAACACTTTTATTCAATATGCGTAGTGCAATGAATCACGTGCATTCATAGTAAACACAATAAAAATTATGATTACATGGCGTCGTCACTCACCTAATTCACATTTGTCGTTTGGAGTTGGCAAAGATCGGATAAAGTTCATACAAGAGCGCCTAAATCTCCGGTCACCGGTTGGAATATCAATAGGCATACATTCGGACCTACGTGGAAAACACACACAGAATATAACACTTGGTAATCATTTGTCACAGCAAGATTTTACACATATATGCTGGTGCCTGCTGGGGTGACAGGAATGGTAGTCCTAGGAGTGGAAGTCTGGGGTCCCGTATGATTAGTACTGGTTAGAGTTAGTCGGAGTATTGGGGTTAATATATGGGACAAATGTCACCTGTACTAGGTAACGGGGAACGGACTACAGTTCCTAGCGGACTGCCATCCCTGAAAAAAGGTCCGCTTTGAATCGGAATTCGATCCAGGTTATATGCCGTTTCTAAAGTTGGAACAACTAAGTGAATAAAATAGTCCTCTTTTTCAGAAAAACAAACCTTTAAAATTGATGGCTATATATATGTATAGTGTTAAAATTACCGGATTTCTATCTTTGGGAACTACATAAAGGTGACCACCGTTCAAAATACAACATAATAAACTACAGAAACAAACCCTTACCGTTTCCTGAGCAATGAAGCAAGTTCTTCCCTTGGAATCCTGACGTTCCTGTTATGTTCGAGGACGTCATCAGCACAACAGTTGATTTCTGAGCCATTGATTCCTGTGTAATAAAATTCTTAAAGTTAAATAGTGTTTAATATACCACGTGGCAAGGTGTGATTTACGAATTCGTGCTATCAGATCTAAAGTTCAGTAATGGTAGGCGTATTTGACCAGTATGTTTAATACTCACTGCCAAGTGCAATATGAAATATATTTATTTAATGAAAAAAGAAAACGTTTGATGGCACTTTCTTTTATTAACACTCGATACGAGCACATTTTTTAATCTTTTGTATTTATCTTTTTATTTTGGCCAATTTCATATATATTTAAGAGTGCTTTGTTAACTGAATTCTTGCTATTTAATCTACCTGTATGTCTTACCTTTAGGTACAGGGGTGTGAGTAAGATCGTGGTCCAAGAACTGCCCAAACAACATGAGCAATCTGGTGTGGGACTTGGAGTTCAGTGTGGTGTTACTGCCCTCGTGGATGGAGCTACTGACGGCCCTAGGGTTGGGCAGAGGAACGCCAAAGCGACCCTTACTTCTCTCAGTGTTCACGCCTGAAAGTACGAGGCATCATCTGTATATCTCTGGTTTTCTACACACAATCTGTATTCTTAAATTCCTTCGTGCATGTATAATTGGACTTTCACACTCAACAATTTTGTTATAATTCCTTTGTTCATGATAAAAAAGAGAAAAATCTGTAGGCGTTTTTTAAAACTAATACGCAAGGTGCGTATTTTCGTATGCTCGGAAAAAGGCAGTCTGGACTATTGGCAATGCTGTGTCCATATGTTTACTTGAAAAACAAACAATGTTAGAAAAATTATGGAGGATATCATGGTTCAGTGCATGGTTTTACATAACTTGAAAAAATTATTGGAGACATTTATTTAATCATACCTGAAATAAATACATAAATGAATTCATTTATAAAAGTTATCCATTCATACATGTGTACAAGCTGTAAAATGGTAATACTTGGACTCCCAAATGTATGCGACAATCTTTATACCGCGGTATTTCCCTGGCATCCACTACAGTATATTCCCTAGTGATTTTTTCTCACGTGAATTTTTTTAAAATCTCGTGTATCGATGCATTTATTTCTTTCCTAGCATTGGTCCTGTCATTTTGGAGTCGCAAAGGTGCCTGGTGATCATTCTTCTGTTATCAGATATAAATTAGGTCAATAAGTAAAGTAAGGTAAAGTACAAGAAAAAGAAATGGGAAGATATCGCTGGCGTTTCTAAATATACCAGGAAAGGTTTTCCAGAAAATGTGGTGCAATTTGGAGCAGTTTATAGTACCTCAGTGGCTTTCAGATCAGCCATATTCCCACATTTAGTAAGAGGTACTATCGTGAACAAACAGGGTTTGTCCGAGTTACAGTGGACACATTGTCAACGACAACCGAGTATGTCAAAAATTTGGACACATTTGTAAGACATATTTATCTACCTGACTATCTAACTGACTATTCACTGGTCTATCTTAAGGGAAGGAGAATAATGGGTTTGTGTTGTGGTCACATCATATGACCATCAAATGGAATATTTCAAATGTTCCAAAGTCTTCTGTGAGCCACATGTACAATGAACAATTGTGATTTATATTATATATGTACGTATCTATTGCTTGAACTCACAAATTAATATTTGTACATATCTGTTGCTTGAACTCATTAATTAACTCTAAAATTTAATCAATTTCATACAAATGCAAATGATATCAGTGACATCCGTAAAGTACAATCACAGCTCTTTCAGAATAATGCAAAGTAATACATATTGGTTCAATTCACACTCCATTTTCTAAAATACTGCCTTCATATAAAAGCAATGTTATTGGTGGTTGCGAAAAGAAACTGACACAAGAAACGTGCTGCCTGAGATTTCCATTAAGCGTTGAAGGTCACCTCTTTCCATGCAATCAATTGTATTGCAATGACAAATAGCAAAGTCATTATTCCTTTTTGAAGCGGATGTGAAGAAATAAACGCTCACCAACATCTTATCAAAATATGATTAATGGACGAATAGAACAGCACCAAAACCGCATCACCCACCAATGTATGGGATGACAAGAAAAAAAAAGCGAACAGACACTTCAGTGTTCTGGTGACAATAGGTGACTTCAGAGCTGTCAGGTAAATGGCGTTTCAGCTGTTCCACGAGACACAGATAATGACAACAGGTTGACAAATGTTGACAGGGTCCATTGTGTTTTTAAAATAGACTGCAATCCATATAATGGCAATTGTCAACGTTGTTATCTTACTGACTTAGTAAACAAAACACCTTTTTGGCACATGTGTGATGTTTAAGCAGTATAATCTTATAGAACTATTATTCCCTGTGGCACATGGTCTCACTACTTGACAAAGTGAATGGAGTGACGTGCATTTCCTTTCAGATTAAACATCAACTTTCATAGTAGCCAAAATAAAACTAAAACTGGACGTTCAATTTATCTCCATATCTTATCCAAAGTAATTAATCAACTAACCAACAGCGTTTCATTAATGTAATTATTCCAATTTTTCAAGGTTTGTCATTGAACAAGCTAATACAAGTCATCACCAACAGCACACGACCTACCGTCTTCGTACATGGGATGCAGGAACCTCTTGAATGGTTCAAAAGATTTGCCCCAGTTCGGTTTCTTCAGGTTGTTACAGGAGCCATCAAAAGAGCGGTATTTAGCTCTCTGGTCGCACCTCCTCTGAAGGTCGAAGGGACAGTCCATTCCCAGTGCCGTCAGGAAGTCTTGTAACGTGTCTCTGAAGCCGCTCATGATATCCAGGTGAGACACGCTGCTGGCTTCCAGGGCTGTGAGACCCAGTCTGGAGGGGAACAACAAACACTGTCATCATCACCGTAATAATCCCATTTAAATTAAAAATTTGTCCCACTTAACGCTCGCTTACGGTTCTCAATCTGTTCTAGAAGATAATATTTCTCTCTTTTAATGAAAAATGTTCTTAAGCTGTTCTAGGACATTCTGAAGGACTTCCCAAAAACACTTCTCGAACTGTTACATTCATTAAAGTACAACATTAGAACTGTAAAAAAAAAAAAATACACCAAAAGGTTTAGAATAGATTGAGAACCGTGAGTGAACGTTAAATAAGACAAATTCACGGCCTTAGAATTGTGTGAAATGTGTGCAGCCTTGAAGGGTAAATACCTGTAAAAGGATTCTGGGCTACTACACTCTACCTTCCCTCAAACAACCATTTACGCAAACATATTCTACTTAGCATTTCTAGTACATTAGTTGGCGTGTCTGATGACTGCCGTCCTTGGTGAGAATTGTTGCTATACCTATGTTTTTAATGAGACTATCAAATGTAAAAAATGACAAAGGAGTATCAGTTGGTGCCATTTATGCTAGAAAGCAGATGTATATATGTATATGTGACTGTGCGTACTCTCACCTGTTAGCAACGATCTTGGTAACAGTCTCAAACAGATATCCCTTGGGGTTGATCCTGCTGGCCTCACGGAAGGAGCGGGTCGCTGTCCCGTGCATGCCGGCGGCACCTTGCTTCACGAAGTCGATACCTGGAAGACGGGGCCGGGTGTATTTACATGGTGCTAGTTCAATACATGTTAGTATTGGACATTTTTGCCCATTCCATCCTGTACGTCATTTATGAAAGAGAACCTCTATATATTGCGTAACTAAAGATGCACCACCACCAACAACAACATGAAAAAAACACCGCCCCGCTTACAAATATTGTACATAGATTCCAAACCCATTAATATACTAAAACTTATTCAAAACTAATAATAAGGAATAAACATTAAAGGGGCATGAAGTAAACCATAAAATTAGTACGAAATACATGTGACTTAAGTGCTTAAAAATTGACCACAAAATTGTTGCTGCAATATCCAAACAAAATTATTTCATTTTTGTTCTTTCGGCTTTAGTAGAATTTCTCCCGTTGGCCGCATTGTTCTGATGGTTCCGACTAGTTACCAAGTTGTTCAGCACCACATACAACACATTTGACTGAAACATTGTACAGAAGCGTACAACTGGAATCTCATTACTTGATTTTAAAGTAATTTGATTTCAAACAGACCTATGCCATGTACAATGGTCTTTAGTGTGTGGTATTTTGGTAAAATGACAGAAAAAACATTTGAAACCCGCAGAAGTGCAAAGGCGCACGTTCCTGGATTAAGACCGTCATTCAGACCTTCAACCTGTCAGGACGCTTTAGCAACAGCACGTTTGCTTGACACACCTGAGGTAGAACGACAGACGTCAGGAATTCGGTAATTTTCACATGGTTATGTCGGTCACTGCGAAGTAAAACTTCTCTAATGTTAATCCAGTCACCCACACCTATCACACCCTTAATCAACGCCCTTCGATCTATTTAGGGAAGTCATTCTTGCGCAGGGGCGGATCCAGCGATATTTTCTGCCAGTCTTTTAAATAATCTTTTATTGAACTGTCCTTTATTTTTGATCGTTCTCTGACAGAAAAAAACATGCCCGTCAGTGTAAACTCAAAAAAATATTCAGACCGTCTTCCGGAAGATCCAGAAGTCGGCTTTCGCCAGCCCCTGCTTGCGTGTTCTCTCTAAAGGCTTAAAACTCACCTCCATTGCGCATTCTCCTCTGCGTGTTCTCTTCCTGGAGCAGCCTTTCTCTGGCCTCAGCCGCGGCAGCCAGGATGGTGCTGGCATTCAGTTTGTTAAGAACCTTTCTTAGGTATGCTGGAGATATCAATGGCGGCAGCGTGGTCACCTTCTCCACCGTGGGACATTTCTCCTCATACCATACATTGCTCTCGCCTGAAAAATACATTGTAATCTGTTGATAAAGCACTGAAGAGACGCATTAAGATACCTT